GAGGGGGCGCCCCGCCGCGACGGGCTCTGCGGGCTTTGCCTCTCGGTACCCACCTGGCCGAGCCTGCCCGCCGCCCCTGTTTACTTGGTTGGATTTGTTATTTGGGGATAGGAGCGGGGAAGGAAGCGGTGGGTGTAGCTGTACAGGTCTCGCTGGTTTTCTGTAGTCATCTTTCCTGGAGAGTTTCGGGGTTTGCCGTCTTCAGGGAGACGCTTTCATGCGTGTAATGCTGACCGTGTTCGCGAGGGCTTCGTAGGGAGAGTGGGGTGGATGGGGGAAGGAGCGATACCTAGCTGTAGTGCGGATCCGATTATCGCGGCGTTTGAGTCGAAGCCTCTGCTAATGGGCCCGAAGGACAGGGGATCTGTCGCTCCGCATTACTTGGAAATGCGGTTGTCCTGTTCCTTTGCGCCTGAGAAGGGCTCTAGACGCTGGTGGTGGTTTCGCTGCAGTGTGTTGCCAAGTTGCCGATGCTGCTATCGCAAATGTTGTCCAGAGACAAGCAGAAAAGTTCCTGTGTTTGGGGATTTTTTTTTATTTGTTTGTGCATGATACAGTAACTGCAGTTTGTATCTGCACACTTTGGAAAATGATGCAGCGAATAATTCTGCCAGATGTAGCAAGAGGAATAAAAATTGATTCGAATATCAATACCCACCTTATCTTTAAAACGTATCCATGGCCTAGCTTGATATGGATGGGCTTGTTTGTGGATTCTCCTCCCTGTTTTGTCGAGTACTGCAGGTACTTCTGCAAGTTGTTCACAAAGGACGTGGAAAAGAGCAGAGCTGTTACCAGTTAGGTTTTATTCACTGTGAAATACTGAGAGTTGCAGGGTATGCCTGCAACTTCAGTGAAGTAAAAAGAGCGTATCAGAAGTTTGCTATGCATTTATGAGGTCCTAAAATAACCTGCTTTAAACTAAAGACTTTGAAATGGAAAAACCAGCATTTGTGTGGCATGTTTTGTGTATGTGTATAACGGAAATAAGAGTAAGTGATGGTTTTGATTATGTTCTCAAAGAGTAGGTGATGGGTTTGATTATGTTCTCAATTCTGATTAATTGAAGCCTGAAAAGTGTAATGGAGTTATTGCTTGGTCAATTACCATATTAGTCTTGGCTAACCAAAAAGCTAAATGTGCCAAGACCTTTATATTAAGAAAGAAACCCATGGCTGAGGTTTCATTTTGCTTTGTTAGAGGTGTCTTTTGGTTTTGTCTATTTTGAGGGTTGTGTGTTTGGTTGTGTGGGGGGGGGTTTGTTTTGGTTTTTTTTTTTTTTCTCTTGAGAGGAGGCAGACGCTGAGAGATTGGTTCTCTGGAGCTTGGCTGGTGTTTTTTTTTTTTTTTCTGAATGTGCTGAGAGAGGTTGCACTGTCATGTGGGGCCTGTTGGGACAAAATTGAAGTGATTCTCAGGAAAGCAAGTCTAGTAATCTGTATTAGTTCTAATGACAAGTCTGGCTTTGTTGCCAAACTTCCTAGAAACATCTCAGTTTTTAACAGTTTAGTTCCTTTGTCAGAGTCGAAAATAAGATTACTTGGAGAATGAGGTAGATGGGGATAAAAAAATGCTGATGGAAGAAATGTAAGATTCAAATTAAGTTTCAGTAAGTATGACTGTCACTTGATGATCAAGGATGAAAGAGTTATAATAACTAAAAAAATCTTTTTTAATTGGTTCGTGTAAGACAACTGATTTTGTCAATCTGTTAAAATGCTTTGTAGTTCTGTTCTTAATTGTGATTAACACTGAATCTTGTTCTCTAACATATGATATTGATTCTGTTTATTTTTGGTCTGCTGCTTGACTCATCATTACTGCGGTGCTCTGACTTGTTAGACTGTACGCCATGGTTTCCCCTATCAACCTTCAGCCTTGGCATTTGATCCTGTTCAGAAAATATTGGCCATCGGAACTCAGACTGGAGCACTAAGGCTGTATCCTTTTATGTTCTGAAGCAGATGTAGTGCACTTCACACAAGTGACATTCTGATACAGCTGCTGGAACCATTTGGGAGTCTGGTGGAAACTAGGTATGCAGAAGGGGAGAAAAAAGGTCTTTGCTGTTGGTGGGTGTCCTGGCTGTTTGGTTGTTCTTGGTGTCAGTTCAGGTTGTGTTCATGGTGTGAGGTATGGCTGCCCAGTTCCCGTTATCTCAAATTTATACATTTTGTAGAGGGTTACTAGTGTGCTGGCAGCCTACAGCAGCTGACTGCACATCTAGAGAGAGACCTGGGCTGAGCCCTGCTTTGTTGCTGTGTCCTCTGGTATTGAAAAATTCCATGCTGCTTGGTGTTTTGTTGGGGATTTTGGTGTTTATTTTTTTGTAATACTGTAGTTACCTGCTACTGTGTTTGTGTGCCAAAAGATGGTTTCAGGTGGGGATGGTAAAAGGTATAGGAATTGTATCTCACTAATAGTTTCCAAGTGACTGAGATAGGCAGAATGAATTTGTGGAACTAAGCACCAGTCACCCTGCTTCTTTTTGTTCACTAAAAAGTGAACTGCCCATATGTTAATAGCCATATGGTACCATAGCCATATGTTACTATCCAAGCCATGTAACAACATATGTGTTTAAACCTTTATTTTTAAAAGAAGTTGCCCTGTAGAGTCTTTAATCAATGCTGACATTGCCCAAACCTTACTTTTCAGCAGAAGAGAATGAATTGAATTCACTGTTGTCCTGAAATTGACTGAACCCTGACCTATATGGGGAAGGCTTAGGCCATCTTGCTAGAAAAATTGACTTAATCCTCTTGAAACTGTAGGTAAATCTCATCTTTTCCTTTGCTGCTTATATTAGTCTGCAAGTTACTATTTCCTTCTGTAAAATCATTACCTTGTGCGGTTAATTGCCTTAAGAGGGTTGTGTTTTACCAGCTGAAAAATTAGAATGTCTGTTAAAATCTGAGGCTTTAAGAAGAGGCTGAGGTGAAATAGCTTGTACAGTATCTATAATATCTATTACGAACTCCCAAGATCTCTTAATTTAATGACCATTCAGTGCTCTTAATGCTGGATTTGAAACTACCCTTAACTCCATAAACTTTTTTTTTTTAAAAAGGTGATGAAGTTGGTTTGAATGAAGTGTTGGTGAGTGGTGCTGTTAATTGCTCTCATATTGGTAGAATGGAGGAGAAAACAAAAAGTGACCTAAAAGTAAGGATTTGGGTTGGAGGAAAAAAGGAGGGATCAAAATGCACCTGTTCAGAGCTTACTCACCTGTAATTTTGGGCAACATGATGTTGCAGTTTGAGTACTGATGACTTGATAAAACCTGTTTACTGGCACTTGTCCATGACTACACCTGTGAATTCTCAGAGTGTGAATTGCTTTCTAAATCAAGGGAAGTTTTACCGGATTGTGAGGGAAGGAACAGTTACTGTGAGAGGAAGCAGTAACATTCACAGAAAATGTCCTTCCTAAAGGAAGGGAAGAAGTTTAGTGCAGAGGCTGAATCATTGGAGCTCCCTTAACTGGGTGAAGATGAATATGCTTCTCAGTACCTTTATATAGTTCTTGATTCTTGTAAACCTGGTAAAAGCCCTCAAATCCAGCTGATGGGTTAGCCCTGTAACTCAAAAACCCTGCAGAAGTTCTCTCCTGTGATTACTTGCTCTTTGGGATGGTGGAGGGCAGGCAGAAGGGGTAGACTTGAACACATTCCCAATGTAAAACCAGCTTATCTCTGCCTAGTGAAAGAGGTTTGCAAAGCACTCTTTGGGAAGGAGGGAAACTTGCAAGAAGTGCTTATTTCATTCTATTGCTCAAAGGTGAAAAACACAACCGAAAAATGCTTGTTGACTTCCAGGATGCTTTACCTGTAAGGTTTTTTATGAAAAATAAATTATGTGCAAGGATTTGTTGAAGCGAGAGTGTCTTACTCTTTAGAGCTACAAAAATGAATTGAATGAGATGTGGACTAGAAAGGCTGAGCCAGTAAAGAGGTATACATTGAGAAGTAAACCCTAAAAGTGGGAGAAAAGTCAATCCTCATTTTCTTCTGCATTCATGTAGTGAGAGTGTAGAAATAAAGGAATTACAATGCTGCTTTCATTCCCTACCAGCAGATGGGAGCTGGGTATTAGTGTTTTCCTTGCATCTTCAATTATAGGTGCATCTTGTCAAGCTTTCACTTCCTATTGCAAATAAATGATCTGAGGAATTGTGAAGCAAGTTTTTTATTTAGAAAAGCTATCAAAGATAAAGTATTCTTAAATTGAGGAATGAGCTAACCTCTTTCAGATTTCATTTATATCTGAGGAAATTAATGTGACAGTCCTGATTGACTTTGGGACATTTATCAGCTAACCCCATTACAGAACATGTTCTCTGTATTTGAGCAGTCTGCAACTTGGGTATTTTAACTTCAAAACTGGTATTGCTTAGAAGAGATTAATGTGAACAGGAATTTTCTTAACCACTCTTCTTTATGAGGACGCTGTAGCCACAAGTGGAGGAACAGAGGGAGTTCTAACACAGAAATACTATATGTTGTCTCATGTCACTGCATCAACACTAGTGAAAATAGAACTAAGGCTTTTTCTGAAAAACCAAAAATCTGTGGATACAAATATACTGTCAGTTCCCTGACTTAGTATATTTATCAATTAGAGATAAATAAACACAAAATAATATCAACACTGTAGTGAATTGTTTGAATCTACAAACTAATTGTGAAAATGGAAATACCTAAACTATAGGTGGCATGTTGCACTAATTGGATTGGAAGTAGAATTACTACTCTGTTAATATTCTTTGTCCCTGATCCTGGGCTTGATGGGTTTAAATCAGAGTAGAGTGTTGTGGAGTTGGTGACTTAGCGTACCAGAGGCAGGTTTTTGCCATTCTGTGCCCACAAGCAGATCTTGGTTCTAGATCTTGCAGTTTTAAGAGGATAAGAAGTTCATAAATATGGTAGGAAACTGCTTTTAGTGTAACTTTATTGACTTACATGGTTTAAGTTTTACAGTTTGGGATTACTTGTTAGTTTAACTTGATAGGTATATTCCTTTAAAAAAAAAAACCCCAAAGACACCACACAAAGCAAACTGACCAGACAAAAAACCCCACATCTTCCCCACTGCCTCCACCCCTCCCATCCCCCAAAAAAAACCCCAACACCAAACCACCTTGATTCTATTGTGAGTTACTTACAAATATTTCTAACTGATTTAGCCAGGGGACCTAAAAGCAAGTGTCTCTGAGGCACTGATATTGCTCAGGTGTTATCCTTAATTAGAGAAGTATTTTGTGCCCTCCATAGAAAGTAACATTGAGTAATTAATAGCAAAGGCTTTTCTGATTTCAGTGGTGGACACCTTAGTTCCTTTACTGTATGTGAGGTAAAGTTACAGAGCGTATAGCTTAGTAGTATAAAACCTTGGAGAGAAGTCAGATGCTGGACCCACTACTCTTGAACTATAGGACAGTGAGCTGATGTGACCCTCTCCCTGACACTAGGATCTGTTGAAAATAGTTAAGCTGTTTCTGTTTTTCTGTATTGCAGGGGAAACTGAGTGATGAGGTAGGCACCAGTGCAGAACAGTGCTGAGACATAAAATCTTCCATTTATTTCTCATGTGCACCCACACATCTGCTCACGCTAATCCACTTGTTCCTCTGAGTTCATGGTGCCGATTAGAGGACACTTGTTGGAGCTGCTTGAGGTGTGCGAGTCTTGGCTGGTGGCCTGGCTCTTACATGTGGCAATTCTGCTTCAGGCTCACCCTTCCGCACAGTGCGGGATGTTTGTGGATGTGTTCCCCACGTGCAGCGATTGTGCTCGCTATTGATTTCACACTGCAGTGGTTGGGGTAAGCTGCTGGTGACCTCATTTGTCACTGCAGGCTGATATCTTTGACTTTTTCCATGCTTTAAGGGATTTAACTGTTGTTACCAGGGTGGCTTTCACCTTTTAATCTCCTGCCCAAAAAGTGTTAGATATCAGGTAGTTAATCTGTGCTTTGCTTCTTTTCTGTGCATACCTAAACATCACAGCAGGAGACATAGTCCATAGTCGTTATGAAGTTTTGTGTGTAATTGGCTGTGCCTTGTTTTTCTAGCAGTTATCAAAACCTCCTAATGAGTTAGAGTTGAGTATATGTGCTCAAGGTTTAACTTACCTGCATGCTGTAATTGGGTGGACTTGACCCTGTGACATCCTGACAGCATTCAGTGTCATAGGTAATAGCCCTACTTCTGTCCTGTCGTTTTCACTCTTCTGCTTAAAAGTCCCTCTTGAGGTCAAGTGTGATCTGAATAGGGTAGCATTTAAACTGTAAAGAGGCTTGATAAAGTTGAAATGGACTTTTTCATTATTTGTTTGTCTTTAGGATGTTGTTTCCTCAGAACCTTAAATTACTAATTGTACAAGTCTCTGGACTTAATAACCTGCTGAGCTTTTTTGTTTGCTTTTATAAGAGGAACCTTTTGAAGCTAAAGCAGAAAAATTGAAGGAGTTCTCCTGTTTTCTGCTGTTTTACTGCTCCATCTTAAACAAGTTTCTTCAGTTTTCTGTGCTTTAATTTTTCATTAGCAAAACCAGTACAGTATATCAAACGAGACTTATTTTGATTGTCTGCCACTGTGAATGCAATATCATTATTGGTGCTTCATGCCTTAGAAAATACTCATTTGCAGCTTGTAGCTCAGTTTCTGTCTTGACAGGGGGAATTCTAAAAAAGATTGTTTCCACCAGAAATCCTTGAGAATAAAGGGGATACCTGTAGAGTAAGTGTTGGGCCTTCCATGTAGACCAAATTGTGCCTGGGCATCTTTATTGCCAAGCAGAATAGGTTCTTTAATCAAAGTTTGACGGTGTTTTTCCTGTTGTAAACCCCATTCACCCAGGAGAGAAAAGTTAGATTGTTTGCCATTTTGTCATTAAATATCTGAAGCTTCCAATCATTCTGAATGTCAGCAGCTGCTCATT